GGCAGCCCCCGCCGCCCCGGCACCGGCATCAGCCCCGGCACCGGCATCAGCCCCGGCAACCGGCGTCGGCACCGGCACCAGAACCGGCACCGAGCCCCAGCACCGGGAGCAGCACCAGTATCAGCATCAGCACCGGTGTCGGCACCAGCACCGGTACCGAGCCCCAGCACCAGTATCGGCACCAGCATTAGCACCAGTGTCAGCACTGGTATCGTCATCAGCACCAGTGCCGGCACCAGAACGGGCACTGAGCCCCAGCACCAGTGTCAGCACTGGTATTGGCACCAGCACCAATACCAAGCCCCAGCACCAGTACTGGCACCAGTATCAGCACTGGCATCGGCACCAGCACTGGCACCAGAACCAGTACCAAGCACCAGCACCAGGATCAGCACCAGTGACAGCACCAGTATGGGCACCAGCACCAGTACCAAGCCTCAGCACCAGTATTGGCACCGGCACCAGCAACACCAGTATCAGCATCAACACCAGCACTGGCACCAGAACTGGTACCAAGACCCCCGCACCGGTATCAGCACCAGTATCAGCATCATCACCAGTGTCTGCACTGGTATTGGCACCAGCACCAATACCAAGCCCCAACACCAGTATTGGCACCAACATCAGCACCAGCACCAGTATCAGCATCAGCAACCAGTGTCAGCACTGGTGTTGGCACCAGCACCAGTACCTTGCCCCAGCATCGGCATCAGTATTGGCACTAGCACCAATACCAAGCCCCAGCACCAGTACTGGCACCAGTATCAGCACTGGCATCGGTACCAGCACCAATACCAAGCCCCAGCACCAGTATCGGCAGCAGCAACACCAGTGTCAGCACCAGTATCAGCATCAACATCAGCACTGGCACCAGAACTGGTACCAAGACCCAGCACTGGCATCAGCACCAGTATCAGCATCAGTGTTGGCACTGCTATTGGCACCAGCACCAGTACCAAGCCCTAGCACTAGTATTGGCACCAGTGTCAGCACCAGTATCAGCGCTGGCACTGGCAACAGAACCGGTACCAAGCCCCAGCACCGGTATCAGCACCAGTGTCCGCACTAGTATCGCCACCAGCACCAGCACCAGCGTCGGCACTGGGATTGGCACTGGCACCAAGCTCCGGCACTGCCATCAGCACCAGCGTTGGCGCTGACACCAGCATCGACATTGGCACCAGCATCACCACCAGCACCTGGCCCCAGCGCCGGCACTGGCACCAGTATCAGCCCCAGCACGACCCCAGTGGGTGCCCTGAGTCCAAAGGGCTCAGGGCTGGGGCAGGTGGTGTCTCCTCACCCCCCCTTCTCCCACCCGGTGACACTGGAGGGCCGCGAGCACCGGGACCCCCATCCTGGCCCGAGACCGACGGAACACTCCCGCGTGGGATGTGCTGGGGTCGGGGAGCCCCCGAACGCTCCCCCAACCCTGGGACCCTACGGTCGAACGGCACCAGGGGCTGGTGCCGGTGTCAGAGCAGGGAAAACCATCCTGCCCTCACCGACCCCTCCTGGGAAAGGAGCCCCAGGGTCCCTGGGCCATGGCGGGGGGGGGTCCCCTCTGCCCGACGGGCACCCGGACGGCCGCAGAGAGGGCAGCGGGACGAGAAGGGTTAACGGGCTGAGCAGGCGTCACGGGAGCCTGAGCAGCCATTTCGTTTGCGATCGCTCCCGCGTCCCCTCCAGCCTTGCATCCCCTCCAGCTGGGACCCCCCACCCCAAGACACCTGAGCCCCCCTGCCCCATGGTGCATCACCTCGGGGGCTCCCGCAGCCGCTGGCACCCACCACCCCGGGCTGGGGGTGGTGGTGGGGTGTGTGGGGACAGGGGTGTCCCCAGGGTATGAGGGTCACCCCAAGGCGTGAGCTGTGATGCCCCACGGGGTCTGGGAGCTCCCCCAAATCGGGGGAGGGTGGGGTGGGGAATGGATGGGGGGGGCAGGACAGAGATCCCACAGCGATGCGCTGGAAGCAGCTTTTAGAGGAGCTCGTTCTCTCTCTGTAATTAAAGGGAGGGGGTGGGAAAAGATGATCTTTGGGAAAAAAAAAAATAAAATAAAAAAACCAACCCAGTTTGGGCAGGCAGAGCTGCTGCCTCCGCCCCGGTCCCAAACACCCCCCACCCCCCACCCCTCTGGCAAAGCCACCAGGCCCAGGGTAGGGCTCCAGGGGATGCTTTTTGACGATGGGAACCGTTTGTTGTTTTTTTTTTTAAAGAAAACCACGTTTAGTGGGTTTTTTTGCTCCCAACCACCCCCTAGCACCCAGCAGCTCTGGGTGGGAAGGAGACAGCTCCTGCCAAAGGGCATGGCTGTCCCTGGAAGGGGGGGGACACACGGGGACCCTCTCACCTCCCACAAGCCCTCTTGCTGGCACACGGCTTTGGTGAGATTTGAGGTGACTGCTGTGGTAAAACCGCAGGTTTGATCCAAAGGCAGGAGCAGCCGGCAGTGCTGCCCACGGGGCTCACCCAGGGTCTGAGACTCCCGGAGCTGGTTCCTCCACTGCCGGAGCAGACGAGGAGTTGGGGACCCTGGGAGGAAATATAAAATATCTGCTAGGACTTGGGGGATTTTACTTCTCAGCTGGTGTCACCTCAGACAGGGTTTGCTTGATCCCTGAGATTTTTCAAATGTCCCGAACCACGCAGGTAGTATTTCCTCGGGAATGCCAACCCCCTCCAAGGGAAGTTTGGATCCACCCAGGACAGCATTTGCTAAAAACCCGGCTCTTTGTGACTGTGGGGAATGGAAAGCGTGGTCTGAGCAGTGGCTTTGGCCCTCGGGAAGAGCTAGGGGTGCAGGGTGCATCCCACGGGATCCAGGGGATGGAGGAGCTGCAGCCCAGCCAAGGAGGGGGCTGTGACACCTCGTCCCATGCTGCAGCATCTTGAGCAACTCCAAGATCACCGAGCCACAGAATCATCCGGGTTGGAAGAGACCCTGAAGCTCCTCCAGCCCAACCATGAACCTCCCCCTGACCATTCCCAACTCCACCAGATCCCTCAGCGCTGGGTCAGCCCGACTCTTCAACCCCTCCAGGGATCTCGGGGACTCCCCCCTGCCCTGGGCAGCCCATTCCAACACCCAACAGCCCCTTCTGCAAAGAAATCCTTCCTCAGAGCCAGCCTGACCCTGCCCTGGGCAGCTTGAGGCCATTCCCTCTGGGCCTGGCGCTGGGTCCTTGGCTCCAGAGACTCATCCCCCCTCTCTGCACCCTCCTGGCAGGGAGTTGCAGAGGGCCAGGAGGTCTCCCCTCAGCCTCCTCTTCTCCAGACTGAACCCCCCCCAGTTCCCTCAGCCGCTCCCATCAGACCTGTGCTCTAGACCCTGCACCAGCTCCGTTGCCCTTCTCTGGACACGCTCGAGTCATTCAATGGCCTTTTTGGGGTGAGGGGCCCAACACTGAACCCACTCATCGAGGTGCGGCTTCACTGGTGCTGAGCACAGGGCTCAGATCCCTTCCCTGTCCCTGCTGGCCATGCCGGTGCTGACACAAGCCAGGATGCCATTGGCCTCCTTGGCCCCCTGGGCACACTGCTGGCTCATTATTAATCCCCCCAGGTCCCTCTCTGACTGGCAGCTCTCCAGCCACTCCTCCCCAAGCTTGTAGCGCTGCTGGGGGTTGTTGTGGCCCAAGGGCGGCCCCTGGCATTTGCCCTTAGTTAAACTTCCCCCAGTTGGCCTCAGCACATCGCTCCAGGATGGGGCAAATTTGGCCTGTTTTGGGGTTGAGAGCTTAAGAGCTGCCCGCTTGCTGCCACAGACCACCGGACTGCACCCACAAAGCCCGTCCATGCTGCCGTGCGCTCCCCACAACGTCCCGACCCCAGGATGGTCCCACGAGAATCAGACTCCACCAGACCCACGGCACCAATTCAGATCCAAGATCCAGGGCGGGGGGCTCAGACCTGCCCAGGAGCAGCTCAGGCATCACCTGAACCAGAAGCAGCATCTCTGCATTTAAAAGTTTCTATATTTTTTTTTCCTTCTGGGAATTTATTGAGCCGATTCTGAACCAGCATCGAGTCCCTGTACCTGCAGCATCTTGCTGCACAGATGCCACCAGCATAACCAACCCCTGCATCAAGAACCACCCTTGGCTTTAAACCCGCTGTTTACCCATTTCACTCCATGTCTCCCAGGCACCTCTGCAAAAAAATTTCCAGTTCTGCCTCCAAACTGGGGCAACTGGAAGTGCCTGGGCTACACATCATGTGGGCACAGCCCAGATCCACTTGGGCCAGGATAGGATAGACTACAAATTACACACAATAAACAAGGTAAGGTCCACCCCCCCCTAAAAAGCTGGTGGAATGTTCTGGGTAATGGGTTCTTTTTTCCATTGCTTTCACTAAAAATGCCACGTGGAGAAGGGAAGACAGTATCTTCCCTGAAAGCACTTGTACAAAACCTCAGTGTATGTAATTCTGGGTTTATTTGCATCACGGCAGCACCCACAGCCCACGAGGCACCCATCGATGGCACAGGATGAGAGCCTTCATCTGAAAGGGGTGAGCGAAAAGAGACACAAATGCAGAGAAATGTAACAAGAAATAATCTTTTTATGAACGTTAATCATGAAATGCCAGACCTCTCAGGTTGCAAACAGAATGGGAGAGGACACTTCAAACAGCAACACATAAAATGCAATTAAAAGAGAAAGGGCAGTAAAGCCTCACATGCTGCATCCTGGCCTTGTTTTTTATCATTTTGGGAACATAGGGGCTCTCAAAACTAAACATTTTTTATTCTCAGATGTGTTTGTCACCGCTACTCATGACAAGGTGGTATACAGCAGGGCCAGCTTTACATTTGCAGATTAAACGTAACCTGAAGATTTAAAAAAAAATAAACAAACGCGTTGGAAATTTTCTCTAAAGGAAACCTATCTTGCTAGAGATCTGGCTTTTTGCCCTCTGCCCGCACAAACCCAAGAGTTTATGCAGTTTCTTGTACTTGCCAATGTATGAAAATTATTTCTCAAGGCAAGCGCAGGGATTCTCAGCCCAGATTTCTTACTAAAATAACATTCTCTAAAAAAAAACCCCAACTCTTAACTCTCCCTTGCTACAGGAGAACGGAGACAGTTTCCCCGAGGAACTGAGAGAATCTCACAATTCCTGTGCATCTTCCTGAGCAAAGACTTGGGCAAGGAATGATGAGTTTCTACAACCCTTCTACCCGTTTCCCACCTCGACTTGCCAAGAACCCCAGCAGACACTAAAGAATTTCCCCCATTTTTACCCCATTTCAGTCAGGTTTGTTCTGTTCTCCCTTAGCCTAAGCTTTGGGCTGGAATAACCGTTTCTCTCGCTGTGCTGACACTGTACCTGCTGCTGCTCTTTTCTTTTTTTCCCCTCCCTTTTTAAATTTAAGCAGCACATTCTTCATGTGGGTTATTTAGGTTCAGTGACAAGGGGGACAAGGCTGCATCCTAACAAAACACACCAAAAAAAAGATGCACTGTCCCCTAAAAGTGGACCCATGGGAGGGGCATCGTACAAGTCTTCTTGAAAACGGGGTGTTTTGCTCCTTGGATAGAGAAGGAACAGCAACGCCCCGAGTCACCTCTCTGCATTAATGTTTCACATCCCATAGTGCTGGGCATAAATCTTTAATTAGATTTTTTACCTTTTAGTGTTATTTTTCCACGGAGACTGGAAACACAGTGTTTAAATACACCTTCAGAAATAACTATTTTTTGAAGTTTCTAACAGTGGAGGGAACGATTACTCCCGCACATAAATTATTTGTTTAATCATTCTGGGCTAAGCTCAATGAAGGCAAAATTCCTACTGGCATCAGTGGCAGGAGATGGAGGATTTGTATTAGAAACAAAACCAACAAAACTTGTATTTTTTTAAGCTGGAACTCTGCATTAATACCTCTGTGCTTTTTAATACCCTAAGCAGAGAATACCTCACTGAGCTGGCGGGGTGAGACACTGTAAGACATTACCTTTCTCTCAACATGTGCACCGAGTTTTGGGATGTTGGGAGAAATCCACCTGCTTGGTGGCCAGAGAAAAACTGACACAAAACTTCCCACCAAATCACAGGTAAAGTGTCACCTCCCGGTTCTGCCGCTCATTTCTCAGGACACGAGTGGTTTCAGTGGGGTCAGACTCTGTTTTTTCCATGCACATCTGAACTTTTGCTGTAAAAACAGGAGCAGGGACTGTGCCTTGCAGCAATCACAACCCTGGCAGCTGTTGGCCCTCACCGTGGAGCTAACCTGATGCTTCTCACGTGGGAGGCACCTTGTTTTATCACTGACCCTCTTCAACTTTTTTGCTTAATTTTGTTGTTTTAAGATTCACTTGGCATTTTCAGGACACCACCATCACTTTGGACAGCCACGCTACCCATGAGGCTTTCTGCCTTTTAACTGTCTCCACTGACCACGCCACACAGCTTGGCAAACTCAATGAGGGTGCACTCAGTTGCCCTGTCATTCTGAGAAGGAAATAATGATAAAAAGAGTTCTCTCCTGTATTTGAGATGGGCAGGGATCCCTGGGGCCAAGCGTATTCCCCCAGGGCCCTTCAGAAGCCACCCAACTCCATGGCAGCACCAGCTGGCTCTTGCTCTGCTGCTCCTACCGGGAGGCTGAGGACAACAACCTTACCCACTAAGCAGGTAACATGACTTTTAAAATCTTTGCATTCAACTGGAATAAGCAAAAAAATGCTGAATATCAACAGCCTGTGGAGAGGAATGATCTACAAACACTGTCCCTGCAGGAGTCCCCTCCTGGCTGCTCATCTTGTCCCTGCAGCTGAAGCCACCTCTTCACCTTGTCACATTACCTGTACTTTGCACATCCATTAAAAATAGACCCACGCTCTTTCCCAGAATCTTAACAAATTAAACAGATGTTTGAAGCAACTGGTGCTGGTCGTTATTTCGACAGTGCTTTCACTGCCACCACTGCTGTCCTATGACTGTAACTAACTGCTCAACTTTTTTTTTTTTTTTAAACATCAAACCCAGCCATTCACCTTAACCTAGAGTCTCAGAAGCTGCATTTCGTGCTTCCAGCTCTGCGGGCAATCCTGTTCCCATCGTGACATTTTCTCAGTTTTCTCACACCTGAAAAAACTTCCAGCATTTTTCTGTGTTGATACAGATAGTCCCTAGCATGTGCCGTTCGGTGCGCCAGAAGTTTTTTTTAATAAGGTTTTTGGTACTCTCAGTGCTGCTCTATACAACTCCTTCTCTTAGATACACATCATCTAGCTGCTAATTAAAATCAGGTCCTAATCAATGACTATGAAGCTGGCACCAACCAGACTGCCTTCCAGTTTGAACTCAATTCAATTTACTAATGGCTATCAGCCCTCTGGATGGAGAAGGGGTTTGTTTTTTGGGGTTTGGTTTTTTTTTTTTTGATAACCAAATGGAAAAAAATTATCCCAGGAAAGTTTCTGGCAGAGTGACTACAGGTATATGTTATGAGTTTGCAGGTGATTAGCGAGTCTCGCTATTTCCAGGAAGCTTTTTACACACAGCATACACTTGTAGTGCTTGTCCCCCGTGTGAGTCTTCTGGTGGCGAATCACATCTGTGTAGCGACCAAAGTTTTTGCCGCATTCCGTGCAGATGTATGATGTTACGTGACTCTTTATGCCGTGATTTTGCTGATGTTTCCAAAATCTGTTTTTCAGCTTAAAAGACTTGTGACATTCCATGCACAGATAGAGTCTTTCTCTTGCATGGCTTTGCTGATACAAAAGGATCTCTTTGAATTCATCGGGTTCTTCTTCCTCACGAAAGCTGTTACCTTTTCTGTTTCCCATGCGATATGCCTGATGCCTTGCTGAATTCAGGTGACTCTTAGATGTCACCCTCTTGTCCGAAATTTGCCCGTTCAGGTCTAGGGATCCTCCTGAGAATGATCCCCGTGGTTCTGTATTTTCTGCACTCCATGTGTGAGTCTGCAGCTCAGATCCGATGACAGCACCACCACAGCCTGGAAGATTCCAAACATTCCCTTTATCTGATGCGATATAACACAGATCTCCTAAGAACAACAATTCCCCATTCACCGTGGCTACATCCGTACAAGGGAAACGAGTTAGGGGTAAAAAAGAAGGGATGCACTAGAACCCCCCCTCCCTGCAATCCCACAAAGCCCGTGCAGTTTCAACGTGTTTCCAGCTGAATTTCTGACAAGTTTTGGGCCACCACACACCTGTGTTAAGACTTGCAGGAATCTCCCTTTCCTCCTTGACATGCAGGGCTCCTGGATACTGGATACTGCTCTTGGGAACAGGACAGTCTGCACAAGGAACAGAACATGGAAATGATGGGTTATTTTCCTCCGATTTTTTCCCCATTATCACAAAGATATTTCCTGACCTACTTTAATCCTGTTGATGTAGATAAAGGATATGTTGCACAAAGACAGCCTGGTGTCAGCCTGTCCACTGCACTTCTCCAAGCCCTGCAGTTCATATTTATACCCTTGCTTTGTAACATGGCTCATTTTTGTTAATTTACATGAAAAACACTGCCTTTTCCTTCCTCAAAGAACAACATTTTTCTAGCTGTTCCTATAAGAAAAGACTCTGTGATGCTCTTTTCTAACAAATACCTGCATAATCCACTGTCTCTTTTACTCCAGGGAAAGGTCCAGCAAAGTGGTAACAGCACACACAGCTGCTCTGTCATCTAGGGGAGGATGGCTGGGAAGCAGGCAAGAAATGTCTGTTTTCCAATTTTTAAAATACTCCAGTAATTACATCCAAAAGCTTGAAAATGCTCAGAGGTGGAAGGTCTCGAACTGATTACAGCCATAAAAGCCTAACTCAGCTGCCTGGCGCTGCGTGTTCTGATTCAGCCCTAACTGCCTTTCTGATACACAAACTTATTTTCCCCCAGCTAATCCCTCCTCGTGCAAGGCACAGCACAAACTTTTTTAACAGATCAGAGCTATACAAAAAATAGAGGCAGCTGTCTGCAGACTCTAGCTTTTCTACTGTGAAAAACAGAAGGTAAGTATTTTTTTAAAAAAGTGGAATTAGATTGTCTCGTTGTCTCATTATTTCATGCAATTTCAAACTGGAGGGTGCAGAAGTAGCAACAGAATGAGGTTAGGCTAAATCAGCGCTTCTTAAACAGAACTGAAGAGCGTCACAAAGCACAAACTGGAGTAGGTGACAACTGAGGCTCCTGGAGTTTGCAGCATTTCTGCTCCTCCAGTCCAGATGACAAGCAAAAGCCCTTTTAGCCCCTGTTAATCCAAGGAATCACCTGAAAGCTGAGGAGCCACTGAGGGCTCACAGCTGCAAACCTGAAAAAAACTGACTTCAAACAAAGGTACAGTTGGGCACTTAAAACTAAGCAATAAGACTTCTTCATTTTCTAGGTATCATTCGTGTTATTTAACTACTTTTGCACCAGAAGAGTTCAGTACTCTTGAGCGAATCACAAAACCCAACCTACATCAGGATCTGGCCATGATGAAAAAACTCACAACTTAACTATAATTAACAAGCCCACGGGATGCATGACACCGTATGTCGCTGCAGCCACTCAGCTCGTGTCTCTAAACCTTTTCCCGACTTGTTTTAGCTGCATGTATGCTACCTGGGACACCCTCTGAGAACCTAAACCCCTCTGCCAGGGGAGAGACCCTTTCCCACTCCGTTCTTCGTGCAGAAGAGAGAACACCCACAGGCACAGACCGAGCACCTGACACGGGGAGGCAGCAGCTCTGACTGTCCTTCAGTCTTTAAAGAAAATCTTGTGGAGCTCAGCTCCTCTCACAGAGATTCACACGTGTCTAAAGATTAAATCACTACAAACGAAGGGATCTGAGGAGTGACTGTTAGACAAGAGCCTGGCCAGAAACAGCACAGATCCATTAGCCTTCAGCCAGAAAAGGAAAACTAACCTTTACTCAACGTGGTTAAAGATTCATGATTCTCCTTTATCAGTTTCTTGTAAAATTCTTCCTGCCAATCTTCCACGTCCTTCCCCGTACATGCTGCAGCGTTATCAAACGTCCCAGGGACCTAAAACAAAAAGTTCAGTAGTCAGTGCTGTCGGCGAGTTGTACACCCCTGAAAAGCCTCTTTTTCAAACTGTACTAAACAAGCAGCCAACTGTTTATAGCAACGCCCACTGTGCGAGAATCTTCCACTAGTATTTCTGCAGAAATAAAAGTAGCTCAGAATGGGTAAAATTACTTGAAAATAACGTGACTCAATTGAAACAATGACTCCTGTAACGACTGGGTGAAAAAGTAATAATAATAATAATAATAATAATTATTATAATAATAATAATAATAATAATAATAATAATAATAATAATAATAATAATAATAATAATAATAATAATAATAATAATAAAAAAAATAATAATAATAATAATAATAATAATAATAATAATAATAATAATAATAATAATAATAATAATAATAATAATAATAATAATAATAATAATAATAATAATAATAATAATAATAATAATAATAATAATAATAATAATAATAATAATAATAATAATAATAATAATAATAATAATAATAATAATAATAATAATAATAATAATAATAATAATAATAATAATAATAATAATAATAATAATAATAATAATAATAATAATAATAATAATAATAATAATAATAATAATAATAATAATAATAATAATAATAATAATAATAATAATAATAATAATAATAATAATAATAATAATAATAATAATAATAATAATAATAATAATAATAATAATAATAATAATAATAATAATAATAATAATAATAATAATAATAATAATAATAATAATAATAATAATAATAATAATAATAATAATAATAATAATAATAATAATAATAATAATAATAATAATAATAATAATAATAATAATTATAATAATAATAATAATAATTATAATAATAATAATAATAATAATAATAATAATAATAATAATAATAATAATAATAATAATAAAATCTGTATTGATAGGCAGCCCCATCATGGAATTTGGCTCTTCCTCTCACTGAAAACCAGAAAATACTCCAGAGTGTATTTTTAAACAAGCCCCGAGGCAGTGCCACAGCCTGACAGATCTAGCTGTGAGAATTCTTCCCTAATAAAAGTTAACACAAACGAATAATTACGCCCTGGGAATACCAAGAGATGAGGACTGCATTATTTTGCAATGTAGACGTAGGTACTGTGTACATACTCTGTATCTACAGAATAACGTGTTTATACGTGCTTGCCTTTGAGTATGTTCTAATTTCCCTTTCAATCTAATGCACAGCTCACTGGTTCAGACGCTTTGCAGCTTGCCTCATGTACAAACTCAATTGTACAAATCTGCTGTCATGAGAAATAATTAAGTTTTGTGAATTTGTCACTCGACGGAACAGCGATCCAAATTACACAGGGGAGAAGGCTGAGCAGAAGTTAAGCCTTTGTCTCACCAAACACCCACACCTTGGGCACTCCCGCCACTGACAAATCACCTCAGTGACTCCAAAGGAAAATTTTTCCAAGCATGAGAACTGTCATGTACAAATAGAGGTCTTCAGGGAGCAAATGCACTTCGCAGCGCAAAGTGGGGCTACATTTCTAACAAATAGGAGATTTTTTTTTTCTCCCTAACGTTTAGGGAGAAAATTGGAATTTGGGCACGAATTACATCACAATGCCTTTAATTTCCCCAGTCACCGACCTCCCCCCAGTGCCACCTCCACACTCCACGCAATAACAGGGAGAAAAACGAAAGCCACTGCTTTCGATGGCAACATTTTACTGCTGCACAACCTGTGTCACGGATTGCAGCTTCCTTTAAGTACAAATTTTCCTTTAAGGGAAATACAAGAGCAAACATCTTAATTACCCTCAAGTGCTCAGGATTCCGGATTCGTTTTCGCATTTTATTACTCATCCTACCACAGAAACTTTGAGGTGTGCCAACGAGCCAGTTTCCATCTTCGCCCAAAATGAATTTTTTGGGAACAGCTTCTTTCAGCAGGCGTCTGTTTTTCCTAATTTTGAAGGGGTCAATTACAAAAGAACTGTCCTCAAAATGATTCGAACACAGTCGCTGATACTTGGAGGGTGTCCCGATGTCCCGGCCCATGTTGTGAATCCATTGCTTCAGGAGAGGTTTATTTCGTAAAGGAAAGCCATAGAAAGAAACGGTACTGTTCTTGTACACCCCGCTGGTGGCATTCTGGCAGTTCAACGCCGAGCAGTAAACCATCATAAAACCAGAAACAGGGACAAATCCAAAAAAATAACGTGCCAGGAGGAAGGTTGAAAAAAGTTTCTAATCAACTTCAGTAGTAAATAGGCCAAAACTTCTCAAGGAAACCCCATGGTTTTGAAAGACAGAAAAAGCTGAGGTCACGAAGAAGAGAAACACGGCCCTGAAATTCACTGCCAGAGGCATGGAGCTCACCGCAGGCGAGTCTTCGGCACACGGGGAGAAGCCAGGTCCCCTTTCACAGAAAAACAGCTTCCCTGTGTCACAGCACCAGCCAGCCTGCCATCGGGAAGACAAAAACCTTTAAGCTCAGTTTAATGGACCATTAACAGGCAGATTTACATTTAAAGTAACTTGTGATAGGTGCACAGACATACGGGCTTTACTAATTTGCGTATCCATGAGGAATCCTCCCAGGCTCCACAGCAAAGCTTAACACGGAGTTATTCAGAAGGCAGCAACTAAAGCACCATAATTAAATAGCTTCTAAAGACCTGAAGATTTGGGTTTGTACGCGGGGAAATCCCGAACAAGGATTTCCCCACTGTATTGGCTGCGTGCTGGAATAGGCCGGTCTCAAGGATGCCAGTTGGAGAGATCTTTGGACAGGCGTGTTGGGAAGAGGAGAAAAACCCACAAAGAGGCACCGTTAGGAAAGGATGATGATAGAAATTATCGGGGCGTGCACCCAGAAAAAGAACCCCGAAGGGCTCTGCAGAGCACCCCGGGGAACGCTGCTCCAAACCAACCCACCCTCACCCCCACCCTGCGCTTCTAGGCACACGAGTGGTTCCCAACACCCACCCCGGTATGGGACGAAGGGAGAAATGGGGCAGCTCTGCCCCAGGGGACCCACTCGCCAGCCGCTCCCCTGCACCGGCGGGGCTGGCCGAGGTTGGTTGTTTCCTTCCGGGCCCACACCCGAGCTCTGTGAAGCTGACACCGGAGAC